GAAGAGCAGATAGCATTACCCCTCTCTGGTCAGGTGCCCCTTCAGCTTATCTGTTTTCTTCTCCTCCTTGGTGCTGTCAGTGCAGCAACTCTTGGAGGATGGAACTGACCCCTGTGCCGCGGACGACAAAGGCCGGACCGCCCTGCACTTCGCCTCCTGCAATGGCAACGATCACATCGGTGAGTGGGGAGGGGGAGTTCTACCTTCCAACCTCTCTGTGGCAGAGATTTCAAAGGATGCTCTTTAGTTTGATTCAGCATGTGACAGAGATTGCTCTTTTGTGTCAAAGTTGCCAGCTGAACTCTGGCCCCAGGGCTTGCCATGTCCCCCTGTTGGAGGGGGAGCAGGACCTCCTAGTTTTAGAGCTGTACTGATGCAGAGGGAAGGGTGTCCTTCCACCCTGTTCTTCCCCTCAGAGAGCCCAAGGGCAGTGGCACTGCCTGACTTTGAGCTGGGTTCTTCTGCATTGCTGCACAAACCCCTGTTCCCTGTCTCAGTAAGGAAGCTGATAAGCTGAAGAGAAGCGCCTGTAAGCAGTCTAGTGGCTGCAACGTGGACCTGTGGCCCATGTGGGCCTGACCTGTGGGGCAAAGGGAAGGGACTGATGTAGCTGTTTCCTTGTTTCAGTGCAACTGCTTCTGGACCATGGGGCTGACCCAAACCAGAGAGATGGGCTGGGCAACACCCCCCTACATTTGGGTAAGTGCCACAGAGATGAGTTTTGCATGCAAAGAGGTGAGGTGAACACCACCTTACTGTTCCTTTCCTCTCCACCTTCCTCTTCCCTGTGCCTCTCAGTATGCATCCCCAGATTTAAGGACCTCAAAGGGGCTCTTTGAATTTCACTAGCTTCACTCCTCACAAAGTTTAGAGTCAGAAAAAAGGTTTGAGAGAATCGATTTCCCTCCCTCTGCCAGCCCTAAGAAGCGCAAGCTCTGTTCCAGAGGGAGTACTCAGGCTTGAGTGTGAGGTTATCTTAGCATTTGAGCTGTTCCTCTTTCCCATGGCAAAGAAGCCCTTTGGGAAGCAGCAAGCTCCACGCTTGAGCAGGAACTCGTTTTTGCTAGTACCTCTGAGTTGTGTGTCCTGTGTTTTCCCTCCCCAGCTGCCTGCACGAACCACGTTCCTGTCATCACCACACTGCTGCGCGGAGGTAACATTTCCTCTATAACAATTACAGCCTGTCCCTTTCCTGCCTGCCCTGTTGATACTCCGCAGGGACACCAGATCTTGACAACAAATCTCGCTTTCTGTCCTTGCTTGTGCATCTTGCAGGGGCCAGAGTTGATGCCTTGGATCGAGCTGGCAGAACCCCGCTGCACCTTGCTAAATCGAAGCTGAACATCCTGCAGGAAGGACTGTCCCACAGCCTGGAGGCTGTACGCCTGGAAGTGAAACAGGTAAAAAAACCAGTGCCATGTTCTGGTAAGGTGGTGCAGCCCCTGGCAACATCCTGCACCCTTTATTTAAATACCTGTCTGTAGGTTCTTAACCACTGTGGGGAGAGTTTGACTTTCCCTTCCATTTTCAGAGACCTTCCTTTTTCCCAATCTCTATTCTAAATTTTTGCAGGACCTCCCTTGGCTCTGGTAGGCCAAGGATGCATTGAATATCCTAATTCTCGGGCTGTACGGAGCACTCCTTTTCTTCAGCCACCATGTAAGACAGATGCCTTGTGGCAGGAGAGGGACCACAGCATGAGGCTGTAGCTACGGTGTGCACATGTAGGGACTCTATATTTCTAGAACAGTCTACCCTGCTCCAATATGTGGAGCCATGGAATAGGAAAGCAGTTGTGAGGTTATGAATACACAGGGCATGGGCCTCACATCAGGAGCCTTATAGGAGCCACAAGGATTTTCATCCCCTGTGCCCAAGCAGATCCTGCTGGAGTGGGAAGTCCCTGCTCCTCACAGTGAGGGAAACTAGCTAGCCATAAAGAGAAGCTTGGTGCTTTCGGGGCTAAACCTTATGCTGCTTCAGCTGGGCCTATCTCTCTTCACTGTTCGTAAACCAGACGCAAGGATCACAAATAGTCCGTCTGTGGCTGATGAATGCCTCTGGTGACTCACTGGGCTCTTGTGCTGCCATTAGTGCTGTGCAGTTGCTTTGCATTTGTTCTTCTCTAAGGATCACGTACTCTGCCACGTGCTGCAGCATCAAGGCTGTGTGCTTGGTGATCTAAGTGCAATTTAATTTTTCCTGTAAAAACACCTCAGCTTGGTGCAGCTCTCTGATGTTTGCCTCTTACGCCTCTTGGTTTCAGATTATCCAGATGTTGCGGGAATACCTGGACCGTCTGGGGAGGCATGAGCAAAAGGAACAGCTGGATGACCTCTGTTCCAGGTTACAGATGACGAGCACAAAGGAGCAGGTAGGCGGCGTTGAGCTACTGTGACTCACCTTGTGTTGTGGCTCCTGTGTGTAGGAGAATGCAATTGCATGAGCAGTGGACGACATTAAAGACACGGTTATGGAAATGTTTTTGTTCACGTTGGGTCAAGTGGGCAAGTTATGTGATGACTCATACTCCTTTAGGTTGGAATTCAAAATGCAGAAAGCATTGCTGTGCCTAGCAGCTGAGGAGGGAAGCTGAACATCAGATGGGCTGAGGGCACAGTCGTTTTAAGGCCAGGATCTGCACAACCACACCGGGTTGCAGGGCCTGTTTGGTTTTTTTTCCTGCAAAGGATTGGCCCTTAGAAACAGGCTTAGAGGAAATAGCCCTGATACCACTGAGTTTTGGGTAATGCAGCAACATGCTTTTATTTTAAGGACTGGCTAAATTGCACAGGGTGGAGCTTAAGCATCGACCTCCTGAGGAATGGGAAGAACTCCCATTGCCTTACATTAGGGCTTGTTTGATCATGAGGATAAGAGCCCTTCTACATGATGGGACCAAAGAGATCCTGTCCTAGCATAAGCTCAGCACAGGCATTACTGGCCCTAGTTTAGGGGTAGTCCCTGCTGTGTCGCGGTTTATTCTATGCTGGTGAGTGGCTGTACAACTGCATTCCCCTGCCTGACAGCCAGCTGTATTCTTCTGTCAGGTGGACGAGGTTACAGACCTCCTGGCCAGCTTCACATCGCTCAGCCTGCAGATGCAGAAGATGGAGAACAGGTAATGGGCTTCCAAATCATCTTCCTGATGCAGCAGGAGAAGCCTTAGAGAGAAAAAAAGGAAGCTGAAGCTTGCTTCCCAGATCACTGAATAAACATTGCTGCCAGCGGCCTTTCCTGCCAGACTGACTCTCCAGTGGTGCTCAGACTGTTGCTGTTGGTGCTGCCACAGCTGCCTCTTTGGACAACAGAGTGCCGCATCTGTGACTTTGGGGTAAAAGAGCTGCTCTACTTTTTATCAGATGGTGATGAATAGAATACCTTTTCCAGAGATATTTTGCCTTCTTCTAAGTACTTCAGCTCGATGTAGGTGGTGGCTGATGTCGTGTACAGTCACCAGCCCTGACTAGTGCACTCAGCAGCTGGCCAGCATCACAGAAATGCTTGGAACAGGCACTTTTTGCCACCTCCATAGTGCTCAATTGCCCGAGAGAGAAAGTGAATACCTTGGACAACAGAAGGCTTTGTGCTGTGAGAAGTACACACGCTTAATTGTGCATGCTAGCAGCTGAGCAAACATACTGCTTTGAGAGACATGCACTGAGGCTTAATCCTCACCTTCCCCAGAGCCTGTGGTGAGAGGGCAGAGAATCTGTCTGGTTACAAATGGGATACAAAGTTTTTCATCACTAGACTAACAGCTTTCACTGGCCTCATTTTTTAAATCACTGCTGCAAGTTAGTGCTTAGATACTACAGTGTAACACTTGCAAAGTTACCCAGGTACACAGCCAGCAGGTCAGAGCTGCCCTGATGCAAGAATAAGGTTTGGGGGGTGACAATCTTAACATAGTTTTAGGTAGACATCTACATCTTGCAAAAAAAACCCCACCATAACTGACTTTTGTGTTTCCTGTTACTGGCGGTCTCAGGCAAGAGGTCCAGTTGTGACAGAAGGTGTTGCACGTGCAGCCATATTATTGGGCTGGGATGGATATGGGTTTATGTCTGCCTCAGCAACACCAAGCCCACTGCTCAGCAATCCTGTGTTTCTTGCTTGTCATGCAGAGCCTTAAGTGCAGTGTGAGAAACAAATCATGACTTCTACTGGGAGTCTGAAGTGATGCAGCTATGCAGTGAATTGATCTTGCTGCTCTCTCACTTCTGCCCCTGTGGTTAGTAATGAAGATTTAGATTACTTTGTTTTGGAGCAGGGATCACGAAATCCCATTGACAGGGTGCCAGCAGCAGCAGGGAGCAGGAACATGCCCAATAATAATCTGAGTTCCTGCCTGTGTACCACACTGTGGTAGTGCTGGTAGCCATACCCATTCCACAGTTTGGGAATCACTGGTTTGGAAGAGTGCCTTATTAGGATTCAGCTTAAACATGCAGCAACCACAGTTTGGAGCATTCTTCAGAGATCTTTAGATCAGCATGCTCTCTGATATCTGCCTCTTGTCCAGGAAGAGATTAAGTGGACCTCTGTGTTCAAAGCTGAGATACCAGAAATAGGCTTGGCTTTTAGATGAGTTCATCCATGAGGTGCTGGAGAACATGACTGGGACCAGCAGTCTTGTGGTTGGTTGGGCTGGAGCTGTCACTATGAGTAGTGGTACTTCATTATGATGTGCTGGATGGGAAGGATGCCGAGGAGGTGGGAGACAATCTGACCTTTTTGTATTTTAAACTTCAATAAAATCCTGTCAGCCTTTTAAGACTCCTCAGCCAAATTCTCTTTTTCAGAGCAGCCCATTTCTCTTTCTTTACTGTATGTTCCAGGCCCTACGCACAGCACTGGACTTGGTAACTGCTACTGTCATAACTGGTACCGAAATCAAAGCGACAACACAAAATTGTTTGAATTCAAACACTGCTCTGTTTGCAGATCGAAGTGCATGGTTGCTGACTGACCTTTTCTGATCCTGACTCCCACAGCCAAGAAATCCAGACTTGAAATCTAGGCATTAGCTGTGAAAACCGAACAAACAGAGGAGAGAGATTCTCAGCAGAAGTGCACCCTTGCAAAAGTATGGAGCTGGTGGGAAGGTAGTGGCTGAATTTGTGCCTTGCCCCATGCTGGATAAAATGACTGTGCTGTGAAGAGGCAGCAAAGGGATGAGGGGCTGGGGAGGGACATCTGGGCAGTGCAGAGAATTTCCAGTGTGGTCCCTGTGTGAGGAGCAGGTGACTTTCATGTCCAGTCTTTACTTACCCTATTTCTTCCTGTCTTCACAGCCTAGTCTTGGTGTCCACATACACCCAGCTATCAGCGCTTCTGCCCTCAACAGCCTTGTTGCTGAGGAGACCATTAAGGTGCTCAAAAGAGCAGGTGGCTGAAATGCTCTTTAACTCTGCAGTTATTTTAGTTGCTGATGTTGTCTGCTAACTAGACACCTCTTGGAAGCTTACCTCAAAGCGGGAATACATCTAGCTGGGACTCAGAGTGAAGCTTTTAGCCTCGGCACACGTGATGTTGTCCACAGCTCTTCAAGCCTTTGTCTCACCTGGCGCTGTTTTTTTTCATAACAGCTCCTGACAGGGGAAAGGTGGGGGTGCTGCAGACAGCCAGGGGCAATTATCTTGCTTCTTGTGCAGCACTGCTCCCTCCATGGGAGCACAATCAATAATAAAACAAGCAGGGTTATAGGAAGTTTTGCTGCTGCTTTAACAGTAACACCAGGTAAGAAAGAGAAAAGGGTATCTAGTTTTCTGTAGGGAAAAACTGCATCGTGTAGGAATCACATTCTGTGAATCACCACACTTAGTTCTGCTTTCCTGCCTCAGGGCTGAAGCACTGGGCTGCTGAGGGCCATATCATGTGTTTGGCACTGGATGGAGAAAAGTTTTATGTTTCTTTGCATCAACCGGTCATGCCAAAGCCTTAACTACCCTGTCATGCTCAGCAGCTGTATTTAGAACAAGTTAGGTGCTGGGGAGGGAAAGAAGGATAGAAGAGGTTCCAGGGGAGGAGGAAACGGTGGCTTCACACTGCCAGGAGCTGTTCACTGGCACCGTCTGTTTTTTTTGCTGCTCCTGGCCTAGAAACTTCAGCTTCTCCCAGCAGCTATTCCCCCCATCTTTGCACCCTGGGCCACAGATTTCCGTGCACAGATTTCCCTGCACAACCCCTGAGGCTGGTGGCAGCTTTCTGCATCTCCCAGCAGTGTCTGGTGCAGTAATGGAGAATAGAAACAACAGCACAGGTTTCCCTCTGCTATTTGTTTTGCCGTTATAGTCAGTTCAACCTCCTTGTTTTCTTTGTGCTACACCATCAAACGCACTTCCCAGATCCCTTCCCGAGCAATGATGCATCCCTGTCCTCAGGGCCACGATATCAACTAGGACTTGACTCTAGGCCTTGTTCCCTCTCACCCCTACCTGACCTCCAAATACCCTCCATTTCCCCTCCTCATTCAGAGCACGGCTCTGCAGGGATGTGCTGAATCCCCAGCTACTGAACCCAGCAGCAACCTCCCTGGCTCTGCAGCTGCTGCTGTGCTATAAGATGGTACCAAAGCCAGCAAGTAAAGACTGAAAACCTGCTTGTGTCTCACTGAGGACTCACAGCAGAAGCAACAGCCCTGAACAAAACCTCCCAGTAAAGCCACATGGATGTTACTAAGCAAAAGGCCTTTCTCTGAAGCAGCCACTCACCCATGCAAGCGAACGTGAAGCGCGCACTGTAATGTGTGTGAACATCAAGAGTTTGTTCAGCTCTTCAGCGGCTGAAATAATTAATCTCTGACATCTGAATTCCTTTATTTCTTCCACCTTTGCCTTTCTAGCACACACCAAATCCAGCACTGCAATTATCTGTGCTACTAAGGAAGCCCAATGAAGCATCTCTGGCAAAACCCATGAAGCATCTCTGGCAAACCTCCCACCCTTTCATCTGCTTTCTCTGCTCACTCTGTGAGCAAGATAGATCTCTTCTTCTTCATCACAGGAAGGTACTTACAGAAAGATGCCTTCTTCATGCAGTGTGCCTGGCCCACATGGGAGAGCAGCCCTAGGCAGCTGAGGGTTCAGGGGGTGAGTAGGTGGAAGAGTCAGTAAGTTTTGATTAGGAAGCTGATAAAAGAGGTATGGCAAATAGCGTTCCTTTGGTTTTTTTCTGAAAGCTCTGAGAGGGGAAGAGGGCATGTGGTTGTTGGAAGAATTGACATAATCAGCTGTCAACCTGCTAAGGCTGATTGTGGATTAGCAACCAGCAGCTAAACCCAAAAGCAAGTAACCAGAATTCCACCCCAGGACCGCCAGATTTGCACACAGGGGTGTAAGCATGATGAGCTTCTTGGCACCTGGGTCTGACACCTCCCAGCAGTATTGGGCTCATGTCACACATGCCAAGGAGATGCCAGACACCAGAACCAGTGCACAGTTGGCAGGACTAAGTTGCTCCACAGAGAGGAGATGGTGCCGACCCCTAGCTGCAGAGCCCCAACCTACTCACACCTCTCCCATTTCATCTGTTTCAGCTCTTGGAACGGCAGTACTCGGCTAATGTGGCAAACCAGCCTCTGCAGGGTTAAAGATGAGCTCATCAGTCTGGGTGATGACAAGTAGGAAAGAAAATACAAGCAAGGAGTCATTAATTAAGGCAAGAAGCTAGGAGCAGAGACCACAGAATGCTAATCAGTCTGGAGGGAAGGCTGCGTGGAAAGCAGCAATGAAGCTCCTTCAGCTTTAATTAAATCTAACTATATCAAGGATGTGACATCTTTGCTTCACCTCTGCTTTTGAGCTGAGAAACCGGTTGGAGCATGTACGCTGTTACTGAGCAGACAGGAATTCCCTCCTGGCTCCAGAGCCTTCCCAACTGAAACTCAGTGCCTGCCCATCCTGCTCATGTGCTCCCCAAAATCAGGGCTTAGCACCAGGCAGAGCTTAGGGATGGGGCCTGGGTCTTGCAGCTACTTGTTACATTACATGCACCTTCTCCTAAGGTCTTCCTTGTCTTCTCTGCCCTGTTTTATTTAGGCTTCACCCAAATGTGCAGCAGTCAGTTCTGAGATGATCTGCTTCCTTTGCTAGCTGGGACTCGGAGGAGCAGGATCAGGGGTGAGAAACAGCCCAGCCGCATCTGGGCAAGAACAGGCAGCATCCAGCTGTGCCACATCACTCCTCCTGACTCCTGTTCCCTTCTCCCTCCAATGCTTTACGTTGTGTAGTGAGTCTTCACCCCTAGAAATGAGGTAGGTATTTGTGTTGCCCAGAGGTGGGTTGAGGCCATGTGAGCTGGCCACCAGCCATGGCATCATGTGCAAAGGGTGGCTATAGAACTTGCTGTCCCGGGAAAGTGGGTAAGACAATCTGGACATGTTTCTGAAAAGCATCAGCTGCAGAGGAGTGGCAGCCATCATGAAGGGAGGGAGCTTGGAAAATCACAAACAGGGATTGGAGATGTGGTAGGCTCAAAGTGCAGAAAGCAACATCAAGCACTTGAATGGAAAAAGAAAACTAATTCCCAGCACAGCTCTTCAGCTGGCCTCCACACAGAAAAATGGGTGTCCTTGGAGCTGAGCTCCAGCAATGTGTACAACAGCTTCAGCAAGCGTTAGAAATACAATGTCACCTGGGAATTTAAGAGCAGGCAGGACAAAGCAATAAGGAAGGATTTACGCAAATGGAAGTAGAGAATAGAAAGAGAAGAGAAATAAGGGGGAGATTGTCGCTCTGCTCACACACATCACAGCTCTGCAAGCTGCCTGATGTCACCCAGCCCTGCTGCACAATGTCTACAGCACTGACAGCGTTGGAAGGCACTGCTGGGACCAAAACACCTTTACTTTTTACACAACCTCCAGCACCATGCATGGGGACCAGTGAGGACACCAGCAGATTCTGCAGGCCATGCAGGGCTCAGGACACCACTGATGGCACTGCATAGCTTCCCAAAACTTAGCATTTGATGCAGCCTCGTGCTGGCAATTGGCTCCCAATGATGATCTCTCTCCTCTCTGCCTGCTGGGACTCCTCAGCATGAGTTCCCTCACTGTTTTAATTAGCTAGAAAGAGAGGACTGCGGTCCCTCCAGATTTCCAGGCTACAGAGTCTGCTGTAGCACCCAGTCCTTGCGTCTCCACCTGGAAAGTCAGCCCACAGGCCTTTGCTGGAAGGGATATCTCCATGAACATGATGACTGGGCAGTGGGGTGTAGGAAAGTGAACTGCTGTGGAAAGAGAATGACCTGCCTTGTTCAGGGCAAAGGTGTTCATTCTGAAACCTACTGGTGCCATGACAATCTGTAATTGTTTCCCCTCTTCAATGTGGAAGTCTGTGTGTCCCACAATGTCACTGCTTTCCCCAAACACTTTTTGCCAAGCTTTCCCTCTTTCAACCTGCTCTTAAGAAATTATGGGTGCAGATCTGCCTCATGTTAAGAGTTACATACTCAGGATCCATACAGTACTAATTAAATGTCATATGTAATTAAGGAAAAGGAGGGTTGTTGCAATCAAAGTTTACTGTGAATGTTGTGGGTGGTGATGGCAGGTCTCAGACATGGCTACAGGATTGTGGAGGAGGTGGCTGAGGAGCTCTGGGGAACTTGAACTCAGTTTAGTGGGTTTGAATGAGCGAGCTCATCTCTCACTGCCAACATAAGACCATCTCAGTGGGGATAAGGTGTGGGTCTGATGATCCTGGAGGAAAGCAAAACCCTTGTCATATGGTCAGAAACTGTGATGCTAATGAATATTTCTTTCTTGCCTCTCTAGACCCTTTCTAGGGCTTCTTCCTGGTTTCTACAGCATGACCAAAAGCTCCCGGGCCACAGGACTGAGGCTCAGGGGCTCTGTCTGTGCTGGCAAATAGGATCTGTCTTGCTCACACTTGCAAGTCAGGTGGCATCACACACCTTGTGTTCCCAGAGCAAAGCTGTCTCATCCAGTGGAGGGTGGCCTTGGGTGGCTGCAGTCACCTGCAGCACATGGACTTGGCACACTGGGAAAGCTGAGTATCTCACTTGGTCCTCCCCTCCCCTCTCATGACTCATGTCATGGCCACGTGACAAAATGGGAGCTATGTGAGGTCAGCCACACGCTCAGACCTGGCTCTGCCAGGCACTGCAGCATTGCAGCATTGCAAATCCCACCGGCCCCCTCCCTCCCACATGTGCTAGACTGATCAAAGGCCTTGCTTGGACATTGTTTTCATGGGCTTCTCTGGCAGTCTGATGATGCAGAAAAATGCTGGAGAAAGATGCTGTGGCGCTGGAGTCCCAACACAGCCAAGTGATGCTCACCCCAGCTCTGGAGCAGCAGGACACTGCTAGCGTGGGGAAAAGTCTCCTGCCAAAACACGAGTGCTCTGCCAGCACATTACTTCCCACCTCCCTCATGCCCTCTTGTCCACCCTTTTGCCCTCTGCTTGTAGCCCCTCACTTTGCACTGCCTTCTCACCACCACTTTCTGTCCCTGGAGATGGCTCTCACCCAGCCCCACACATTTCTCATTTATATTGCCCCCCCCTCCACCAGGTACTCTCACCATCCCTCTCTTTTCCTCTCTCTACTTCTGTCTCCTCCTATGACTCTCTTAAACACCAGCAGTGCTGGAGTCATATTAAAACCCTCAGCTTTGCTGCTTCTGGGCAATTTTGCAGTGTCTGCAAAGGCAAATAAACCAATTGCCACCATGCTAATGAGTCTGTGGTCAGATGGCTCATACAGCCTACACTGCCTCCAGCCTAAACTACAGAGGCCTGTGCATGGCAGAGATTGTATCCAACACACAGCAGACAAGGCAAGAGAAGGCAATTACCAGGTTTATTAAGGCCAAGCAGGGGAGAAATTCCAGCAACTTCTGATTTCTTGTCCTGCCCTGCCATCCCCGCAGCACTTCCCGCTGTCAGGCTGGGAGGATTCTTGGCTCTGCTGCAGGGTGTCGTTGAGCTGCTGCCACAGCCAAAGGTTCCTCCGCAGCTGCTCGGGGCAGCAGGGACAGAGCAGAGGAAAGTTTTTCTCCCAGGTGGACATGGGTCCCACAGCTATCCCACAACAGTGGCCAGTCTTGGAAGATGTCCCAACTCCCTCAGTGGTGTTGGCCTCATGCTCTCCTGGAAGTCTTCTCCACCATGTAGAAAGGAGCACTAAGGGTTGAGCTAAGTGCACATGGGTGTGATGGGCCTGTGTCTTTCTCCTTTGCCTCACCATGATTGTCACCTGGCTCCACAGCTCATTTTGCAGCTTGGCTACTTTCTTTTGCTTTGGTGACAGCCATCAATTCACTCATCATCATCATCATCACATAGAAAAAAAAATGTCTGGCCAAGTGAGTAAACAGTGCATGTGGGGCTAATATCGCTGAATAACGTCACTGCTCTGAGAGCAGGAGGACCTCCAGCCCCAGAAGGAAGGGATGAAATTCCAAGTAGCAAGCAAAGATCAAAGAGGAGGCAGAAATCCCTTAGGAATTTGCAAAAGGCAAACAGAAAGTAAGCAGAGGGGTGGATCAGGTAGAACAATGTGGTGAAAAGAGGATTTACTGGGTTTGTTTAGGAAGAACTGAGGATGGCTATCAGGAAATGTTTCTGAACTTCAAGCTGCTGTAGGATTTGGGCCAGTGACCTACAAGATCTGCTTTCAAGAGCTAAAGCCAGGTGGTACAGAGCTCTAGGAATCATCCTCCAGTGAGTACCTCTGGTGAGGCAGGGTAGAGAGGAGAGACTGGCCAGATGGTGCTTTCCTCCTTGAACTGCAGAGAAGCCACCGGTGCAAGGGGGAGGCATGCAGAGGTGCCTGCACACAAGCCTTTCCGTCATTCCTACAGTGGCATAAATCATTTGAGTACAACCAGTGACTACTTTGCAGATTGTGTCATCGAGCCGTTGGCACAGACAGCCGACTTCCTTGTGCACCAGTCAGTATTGCCAAAGGTCCTTTGATCTGGATGCAGAGGCGAGGGAAGGGGACAGAGGTGGATGAAGGCTGCCCCTGGCACATAGGAAAAGACGGGCATGTGGGCAGGGGACAGTGTTTCTCCACTTGGGGCTCTCAGGAAGAAAGGCTGCCAGCTACTCTATTCAGACTCATTTCCCTGTGAACTCCACTCTTCCCACCCGTGCTCTGATGTGACCTTAACAGCCTGGATTTCCTACCAGGATATTTTCATTTTGGTTTCCTCCCTCTCAGAGTTTCAAATTGTTGCACAAAATTAGCAAGTTAGGAAGTTGAGAAATGGAGTCCTTAAAATGTGTTCCCGGAATGCTGCTCAGGTTACTTGACATCATATTAACGTGTCCTTCCATTCTGCATCTGGTTAGGTGGATTGTGACATTCCTAGGTGAATGCTGTGGGCCAGCGAGTGAAGGTGAGTGGGGCAATGGGTTTACCATTGCCACAGGATCTTTTGGTGGCTCTGCTGCATCCATTCCCCTCTGCCTCACATTATTTGGCCTGTTTGGGAATAGAGTGGCTACTCACTGTCTGGAAAATGTGTTTCTTCACTTTGTTCATCTGTGGTGAACAGTCAGAAACTCCTGAGTTCCTCTTAGAGTGGTCATGTCTAGGGAATGGCAAGCTGTTGCCAAATGTTCCTCCTCCAGTATCCCCTTTTTAACAGAGACCATGGCATCTTGAAGCTGCTGAGTCCATGCTCTGGCATGACTGGCACCTTCACGGTCCCTCTTCCTGGTGTCTTCTGGGACCTGGGTCACCTCAATGTTGCCTCCATAGAAACCTCTGGTGCTGTCGATGAAACCTCTGTCCACACTGACCATACGGAATTCCCTTCCAACTCTCTTCCTCTTCTTCCTGGTCTTGTTCTGGAAGAAGAGGCAGGTGAAGACCTGCTTGAAACGCTTGCGGAAATGCTTGGAGATGAGGGCGTAGACAATGGGGTTGAGGCAGGAGTTGGTGTACGACAGGCAGTGGGAAGCCAGGCGGCAAATGTAAGTGGCTCGGTTGAAGGGGAAGTGGCCAAACCAGAAGCAGAGGATGACCAGGTGGTGTGGCAGCCAGCAGAGGCAAAACAGGATGGCCACAGCCACAATCATCTTGGTGACCTTACGCTTGGCCTTCCGGGACTCTGAGATTCTTTCTATGGGGTCTACTGAGGTCCACAGGAACTTGACAGTCCTAATGTACGCCAGGCTCACCACAATCACGGGCAGGAGATATCCAAAGACAAACGTGAGGATGTCCAGAACCTTTCGGCGCTGGTCCTCCCAGATGGGGACACAGATGGGCACACCATGGTAGTGGATTATCTGGTAGTAACTGAGGTAAGGCCCTGCGAAGAGCAGCGACAGTGACCAGATTGCTGCAATGGCCATTCCTGCGTTTTGGGAGGTGCGGAGGTCGCGGGACTTCAGTGGATAGCGAATGGCCAAGTACCTGGCAAGGAGGGGAAAGAGATGGAGAGAACAAACACAAGATGGGTGAGATGAGGTATTTCTCCTGCCCTATGTGGATGCCATCTATGCACCCCTATCCATGCAGCCACCCATCCCTCCCCTCCCCCACCTCTTGGGAGTGAGGGTTACAGTGAATTCACAGCTATATCAGGGTCGTTCCAACAGTGAGGCTGGGATCTCCATCATCCACTCTGCTGTGCTAGCTCAGGAAGGGCAAGCAGTGTGTCTCCTGAACCAGGGAAGAGAAAGATTGGAGCAAGACTCTGCTGTTTCCTCTGAGGTGTGTTGCTGTCCCGGGGCTTTTGCTATTCTTGGTTATGCATGGTGGACACTCTTCCTTCCCAACTGAGGGTCAGTAATCAAGCTGAGAACTTGGCTTTGTGGAAGGCGAGGACATGGAGAGTTGACTCTGCTGGCTCTGCCCCTGGGGAGACCCAACCTGCTTTTTACGGGATATTTAACAGGGCAGCCGTTCTCCTACCTCTTAGCTCAAGGGTGGCAGACGCATTGTCTCTGAGCTGAGAGTCTCAAAGGGAAGGGGAGACTTACCTGTCAATGGAGACGGCAGCCAGGGTAAAGCTGCTGGCATACATGGTGAGGTAGATCAGGAAATGAACAGCTTTGCAGGCAAAGGCCCCAAAGAGCCACCCATCCAAGGTGTAAATGGTGGCCTGGAAAGGGACACAGCAGATGATGAAGCACAAGTCTGCCATGGCCAGGTTAAGGATGAAGAGGTTGGTGGTGTTGTACTTGACTTGGCCATTCTGCAGCAGCACAGCCAGCACCAGCCCATTCCCCACAGTACCCACGAGGAAGATGAGGGAGAAGATGATGGGCACAATAATCCCTGCTGCTTGAAGCTCCAGGCTGTCAGAAGAGATGTTCCATCCCTCTGGCATCTCCCCACCTGACCGTGGGCACCTGCATAGGAAGAAAGGGAGAAAGCCCTAAGATGCCTGATTCCAGCCTTTGACACCCATATTTCTCCCAGAGATGCCAATCTCAACCAGCTGGTTAAATGATGACACTAGGATCCTCATGATGTTGCTGGCAAGAATGTTGTTGGGATCAGTCAGTTCACACCTGGCTTGAGCAGAGCTGAAGCCCCTTTCTCCTGCCCAAATTCACATTCCCACCATGGCATCTCCTGTGCTCCCAGCCCCCTGAAGGATCTCTGCTGCCCTATCACCTGGCTTCCTCTATATTCCTCCTACAATCCCAAAGCTGCTAAACTTGGGATTGCTTGCTTTGGCAAGTCTAAACCCTGGCTAGTATTCAACCGGGCTTGTCCACGAGGCCATGGGGAAGGGGGCTCCCATGGTCTACGAGTGGTCCTGGCACACTCAGCCCAGGGCTGTGCCACCTCTGTCAGCAGGGACCTGATGCCTGGATCACACCCCACAGCAGCAACACCCCAACATACTCTTATCACGAGGGAACTCCTTAAGCTGGGGCCACCTCCACCCTGGAACTGGCTGCTCCTTGCTCCCGGTGCAGTAGCTATGCTCCGCAGAGGAGAGGCAATTAAGGGCACCTTTTCATGATATTGAGAGGTGGTAATGGGCTGGATGGTGGCAGCTTGGTGAGGAGCTGCCTGAAATACGACATGATGAACACTGTGAAGGAGCGTGTTATTACCACAGCTCAAGGTATTGTGATTTGCTGCAAAACTTCCTCCAGCCCTGAGTAACACTGTGCTCAGGCAGGGAGTGCCAACAGCCTATCTCCGAACAAGCCTTCCCCTTGTTTGCTATCACTAGAACAAATTGTCCTTCTCTGAGCAATAACTGAGAGGGAAAGACACCATTATCTAGCTACTGTTGACATGCAATTAACTCGGTTTTGGGTCATGCAAGCTCCTTCACCCCATGCTCCCCCATGCCTCAGCTCACGCCACTTCATTTTCCCAGCTCCTCTGTGTATCAGACCAAAAGACTTTCTCTGCCTCTCTGGCTCTTCTGTCCCCTCTGTCCTACTGATAACTATCCATCTGGCCCCATGAGATCTCCTCACTGGAGCAGAGGAGCCTGGCCTCCCTCTGGGCATGCATGGTCACCAGGGTGTCTCTTCTCAGGGAGCCCGAGGCCGCCTCTCAGCTAGGGAAGCCGGCACTCACCTTTTCAAGGAAGGGCCTGGAGCTTTGCCACTCGCTTGGGGAGGGGGAGACCTCTGGTCCAGCCCAGGTAATGGTGACAAGGAGGATGCAGACTACCAAAGAGTTTGTCCAGGCAGCTTGGTCACTCCAGTCACTCCTGCCTGGTGCTCCGCTGCCTCCCCCTGCCTGCCACCAGCTCTGCTCTCTCTCCTTCTGGAACTCCTCTCCTTTCTCTCTGTCTCCCCCTTTTTCCCTCCCTCTGCTCTTGCTGCTGATCCATAGATCTCTGTTGATTTTTTTTCCTCTTTCTCTGAGGTTGGGTTTGGAGTTAACTCCTCTCTGCCCAGCTTTCCTGCAGGCTCAGCTGCTCCCTGTTCCAGTGAGGAAGGGGTGGCAGAGAAAAAGCCCACTATTCTCTGGTGGGAGAGGGAGAATGGAGAGGGGAAGGTTCCCATGGACTCTGGTGGCCACCCCTCAATGCTGAATGTTCAGGATGTCTTAACCAACACCTCCAGGGAACAAGAATATTCTGCCACAGCGAGCCTGGTCCCTGCCCTGTCCTTGGGTTAGGGCCCTAAACCCTCTGGAGCATAAGCAATTAATTGCTATTACTAGCTGTTATTAATTATTGTTAATAGCATGGCTCTGAGCAGATTGAGCCTCTCACGTAATGTCTGACCTGGGGGAGGAGGAGAATGCAGGTTTTGGTTTCCATCCAGCCCAGATCTGCACACCACCAGTGCTGCCAGGGCACTGCAGGGTGAGGAGGGGGGACAAGCCATCAAGGGAGGCTGTCTCCAGAGGTTCAGCTCCATCATAGTTGTCTGGGACAGCATGGGTGCTGGCTGATGTGCCAAGAAACAGTGACCCACACAGCCCTCCTGCCCTGCTGCCATGTCCACCCTGGTGACAGGACCTGTACCCTGAGGACTTCCAGGTATGCTGAGTGCAGCTTGGTGATCCTTTCCCAGCAAGACTCGAAAGCCACCAGCTTCTCTTTGCTGGACAGGTCCTGGTTGCCTCTTCCAATGATGGAGCAGGATGTGGAGAAGGAAGTGCTGGCCCCTTCCCCTCTACAGCAGCCCTGATAGCCCTCTGGGGTCAGTGGAACCCTGTGGCCTGGCAGAAGGGATCATACAGCTTCTTGATCCCACATGCCCCTGTGGCAGAAGGGAGCATGGTGTCCCCGCCAGCTCACTATCAGCTGCTGTAACCAGGGAAAAGGGGAAGGCCATGTCTTGGGACGTGGTGATAACCCAGGGAATGCGGCGGAGCACAAGCCTGCACCCTGCCACAGCACTGCTCACCATGGAGGGACCACATCGCTGCTGCCTCCTCCTCCTCTTCCTCTGCCTGCTCCCACCACTGGGCATCCCAAGCCCACCACTGCCTCTGGAGGAACCTCAGGATCTGCCACTGACACTGTCCAGCACCGCTGAACCCACTGCCCACCTGCTGCGCGGCCACCCCTCAGCCCCAGTGCGGCCCTACAGCCTCTCGCTGTCCCCTGAGGATTACCACTACTCCCCCAACCCCCGGCACCTGCGCCCTGGGCGGCTGCGCCGGCTCCTAGGCTCGGCCTTCGACCCCTTCTGGATGGCGACCGAGGAGCCCCGGGGTCGCAACAGCAGCATCCTCGAGGAGAACCTGGAGTCCATGAGCAGGGACCTGGCAGAGGGTGCTGGGCGCTACCGCCGCAAGCTGTGGCGAGAAGTGGAGGGGCTGGAGCTGCCCAACCTGCTGCCCCCTGGCCCGGGGTTGCCCCCTGAGCTACCTGGGGCCCTGGCCCGCCACCTGCGGCAGTGGCTGGTGGAACTGGCTGCCTGCCGCCTTACCTCCACCTGGGTTGACCTGGGACCCATCTTCTGGCCCCGCTGGGTGCGCCACACCGCTTGTGACACCAGACCCTCCGGCTGCTCCTGGCCCCCTGGCATGATCTGCCGCCCCACACAGCTCACTCGCATCAAGCTGCTGGCCTGGCACTGCTGGGTCCCCCAGCACCCAGGCCCACCAAACTGCACGTGGCGGCAGATCCCCTACCCTGTTGTGACTGCCTGCAAGTGTTCCTGCCGCTGAGGGGGCTGCAGGGGGCTATGGAGGGACCCCATGGTACCTGTTCTTGGAGCCAAAAGGCCTGAAAAGGCAAGAGTCTGCCTGGATTCACCCTCGGATCTGGGGGGAATCCCCAAACAGAGAAATAAACCTCCAGTAAGGAAGTGCGGATGGCTGCTGTCATTGCTCTTTCTTGCCAAAACCCTTGGGTGGGATGCAGCTGCTTCGCCCTTTGCCCACTGCAGGGAGGCACTACCACCAGTGGAGGCCCTTGTGCAGGATTTATCTCCAGCAAAGGATGCAGAATGGGAAAACCGTGGAACCGAACAGCAGGCTCAGACCCTGTTTGCATCAGCCCCAGATGACTCAGTCCAAGCTGGGGCATCCCTGCCTGGGTAGGGGAGCAGGCAGGGAGCAAGGCAGGGAAATGTTAGCAGGGAAGGGGTAGAGGGAGGTGGGTCACAGCTCAGGGTGGAATCAGTGGTGGTTAGAGACTGTAGGGCGTCAGCAGGTAGAGGGGTAGTTTTGGGACTGCAACGAGGCAGCCTAACAAGGATAGAAGTAGGGGGTGGACAGGGACCCAGGGCTGGAAGCATCTGTAGGGCTGGGTGCATATGGAAATGGGATGGGATAGGACAGTCCTCTACTGGGTAAGATACATGAATCCCCCACCTATCCCGTGATGTAGAGAGTGACAGCTCCAGACTCAGAACTGCCAGAGTAGCATATAAGGTCTGAGGTGGGTCAGGGAGCCCAGGCTGGGAACTACATCCTTGAAAAGCAGTGTCTGCCTCTTCATTCCACCCAGCAAAAAGTCCTCTGCTTTCTGGGTTAAAAGCTGCATGGAGCTGTAAATCAGATCTAGGCTGGGAGGCCTTCAAGAAATAAAGACCTGGAGGCTTTGCCTGGGATTGCAATATTAATATGATGCCTTGCAGTTGATTGGCACTGCATTATTCATTTCCATCATCTGACCCTCCTGCTTTCCCAGGGCTCCAGCGCTCCCCAGTCTGCTCCCCAGACAGCTCCACAGTCTGCAGCAGAGCTTGGCCTTGAAGCAGGCAGAGAGGCAGAACAGTGCAGGGAGTTGGCTGCCGAGGGGCCTGAGAGATATGGAGGGGAGAGGGAGGTTGGTGCGCCTGGTGAGATGAGGAGGAGGAAAAGGGGGGAGCCCCCATGTGCACACAAGAACAATTGTGTGCGTCACAGGAGGGAGGCTGCTGCTGCTCTGGCTTGCAACTGAGCAGCAAGACATCTGTATGGCTGTTCTCCCATTCAGGAGGACTTCAAAGCTGGAGCAGGGTTAAACTGTTTGGGTTAGCTGCCCTGGACAGAGCAAAGACAACAGCAGGACTGCCTGCAGAAGGCCAGGGGAGAGGGGGAGACCAGGGCTGGGGACCAGCAGGAGAGAGGTGCTAGGGAGCATGGTACAGGTGTACAATGGAGGTGTGCAGGTAGGGGGGGAGCAAAGGGGGTGTGCGTGCACATGCATTGGGCTTAAAACAACAGTGATTCAGTTTAGGGTTTCAATCCCCTGTACCAGATCCCATCTGGCTGAAGCTTCATCTCTTCCAGGTTGCAAGAGGGGCCTGATCACATCCCCCCTGCCCTTTCCCCATTACATTCTCCATGCAAAATACTGCCTGTCGAAAAGGGTTTGCAGCACTGTGAGCATGCCTGGTGCCACAGAAAGGGAACTCCATATCATAGTTTATCAGCAGGCAAATTAAACAAAATCAGCAGTTATGCTACCAGCTGTTCTAACAAGGTCTGGCTGCAGCCCTATAAAAAACACGTTTCTCCCCTGCCCTTTGCAACCCCAGATTAACTCCGGTATTCTTCTGCAATTGCTCTGGTTCAGGTCAGACATGCTATTGCCCTGTAGCTCACTCCCTGACTACCCAAGGGCATGTAGCAATTTCAGGGCAGGTCTTTGGTGATGTGACTCAGTGCTCCAGCACCTAGGCACAGCACACTCCATTTCAGCTGGAATCTGTCTCCAGCTGTAGGTATTCATTCAGCAGGGGGCCAGGTGGCAGGACACACATGACTTCTAGAGCAAAACTGATGCAAACAAAGCAATCCTGTGATGCCCAGGACCCACTTGTTCCTGCTTGAATGCTCAAATGCTACGCCAACACAGCTTGGAGGAACAAATCCAGAGATTCCTGCCTGATGGAGGAAAATTACAGGTTTCTGTCTCCTGCTCTGCCTCTGGCTGACACAGACCCTCTTGCCATGCTGATGGCCTCTGCCCACTGCCCAATGGCCTCTCTGGGGCAAGATGCCTTTCCCAGGGCAGTTTTGGAAGCACCACAGCAATTGGCAAAGCCTTATAGCTGGTCCTGGGTATCAAGCAAGACTCACATCTAACAACCGAGAGCAAGAAGGAGAGAAAGCAACACTGGAATTTTGGCTGGCCCATGTCCTCTTTCCCTAACCAGCTGCTGGTGGCACGGGTTGCAAAGGGCTTGGGAGACACCCCTGCCTTGGTGGGGAATTGCAGCAGGCAGATCTGCCAGTGATGCTGCTGGACCCAGAAGAGAGCATAGAGGAAGCAGGCAACCTCAAAGCACACCAGCAATGCTGTATTTCCATCAGCATGAGAGAACAGGAACTGCAGTGCTTCAGCATCTGGACTGAGGCTTCAGGGAAGACACAGCAGAGTGTGTGGTCACAGCACAAGAGGATGGGGAGGGGGTGCAGCTCCTGAATGAGAAAACAAGAGGCAGACAAATAACCACTGCACTGCAGGACACCTTTAATGACACAAGAGCTGGCTGCCAGTGCTGCTGCCAGCACGCTGCAACAGCCACAGCCTCCCGCAGGCTGCCATGCCTTGAGGATCAGTCCTGGTTTTGGCAGTGTGCTGCTCAAGTCTTTTCCCCCAGCAGAGGCACTTGGTTGTGAGCAGGGATGGTGCTGTAGGAGGTGTTTGCTGGCCCCTCAACGCAGTGCTCCGTGTTTCCGTCCCACCTCGGTGAAGGCGTCCACACAGCGGTCGATGTCCTCATCACTGTGCACAGCTGAGATCTGGACCCGAATGCGGGCCTTTCCCTTGGGGACCACGGGGTAGCTGAAGCCAATGACATAAATGCCTGGGAAGGAAACACAGGGAGAGTCAGAATTGGGTGGGAGGGAGGGAGGGAGAGAGGTGGGTTGATGGGTACTGGGTGATAGAAGGGCTTTTGGATCCTCCCTCTCCTCTCAATAACCACTTCCAGCCTTCAGGGTTTTCAAGTGCCATCTTCTCCCAAGCATGGAAATGAGGGTTACAGCCAGTGATGGGGGATGGAGTCCAGCATGGCAGGACAAGAGCATCAATCCAAACCCCCTCCCCAACAGAGAAAGAAGAAACATCTGGGGGAGACCAGGAGGATGTTTGCAGTTGGAGAGTGGAAGAGTTCCTTATGATGACTTAAATTTGAGATTTCATCCAGAAATATTCTCTGGAGGAGGGCTGGTGGTGGCACCACCAACAACTGTCCCTTCCCTCAGGGAATGTGTCTGCACACACAGCTCTCCCCCCAGTTCACCTCTGTTCAGCATGTCCTCAGCCATGACTGAAGCCAGCCGAGCATCCCCCAGCATGACCGGGCAGATGGGGTGGTCTTTCCCCGAAATAGTGAAGCCAGCTGCCATCATCTTGCTTCTGAACCTGGTGAAGAGAACAAGAGGATTAGTAAAAACCTCATCACCCCTGTCCTTTGGGACTGCTGCCTTTCTTTCCCCTGGGAGCCCTGGCCACTGGGGCTGGGTGAGTTTTGCTCCACTGTGCATCCTCTGGGCAGGGAAAAGATCTCTCTTCCTGGAGTGACCTCCTGCCATGTCCTGCTCACCAAAATGGGACTGCAGATCCTTGAGGGGCAGATGTGTCCCAGCACATAGGGCATCCAGATATGACATACCTGCCTGTACACCTGTCTGACACACAGAGGCACATCCTGGAGCTTCCCCTGAGCACCCCAGAGCTCTGACTTGCAAGCTACCTTTACAGCTATCACCAGGGAGGTGAGGGTGAATAAATACACATAGACAACTCATTCCTAATGAAACTCCCACCCCAATATGGCCCTCTCACCGTTGGGTTTTGGCAGCCATGGACTGTGCAATGGCATTGCTCTCCATGAGCAGGTCCAGGGCCTTGGATGCACAGCCCACCACAGCGGGGGGTAGGCTGTTGGAGAAGAGGTACGGGCGGGACCGCTGGCGGAGCAAATCGATGAGGGGTTTGGGACCGGTTGTGTACCCACCTGCAGATGAAGGAGAGAGAATTGGACAAGGCACCCCAGGGTGACCTGTTGAGCGTGGGGCTTCTCAATAAAGCCAAAGTGGCTCCTACAGCAGGAATTTCAGTACAAACCAGGCCTAAAAATCACAGCTGATGCTTTTGACCAAAAGTTTCCACCTTGACACCAAAGGCAAATGCATGGGGAGGATGACAGTGGAAGGAGCACATGCCAGGATCTCCCTTGACCCTGCAGCAGCATAACAAACGAAGCCTCATGCCACCAGCAGAAGACCACATGCATTTGTTGCTGTATCATTAGGTAGAGGAAGAAAACATAAGCAAACGCTGTGGAGCTCTTAAGGGCATGCAGGATCTTGAACAGAAAAATGCATTCACCTGCAGCTCCTCCAAGAGCTTTTCCCAGGGTGGAATTGATGATAGTGACTTTGTCCATCACTCCCAGGAGCTCATCAGTACCCCTGTAGAAAAAGGAATGTCACATTACCAGCTGTGACAGCACACACCAGGGAAGTTGCTTGATGCCTCAAGGGAAACAAAGTGCCACTAGTCAGGTCTCTGGTGTCCCCCCTTCAGAAAAAGGAAGAACAGCCCCTTGTGATAGTACAACCCAAGTGTTGACCTTCCTCTCCTGCAGAAAGGCTATGCTGGGATCTTGCGAGATGAGAGCATGGGTTCTTGGTCCCTTACAGATGGGAGAGTGCTCAAACTTCCCACACGGAAGTTTAATAGTCCAAACAAAGCATCAGCTGTTGTAGGTTTCACTAGTGGAACCAACCAGATGTAGTAAACATGCTCTGCAGCTTCATGTTCTCCAACCCAAAAAGGCAAGATGAGGCATGGCCATC